AAAAAGGTTGAATCATGTCATCTGGACTTCGTTTTTTTGTTCAAAAAACACTGAGAAAACAAACTTTGTGTTTTTGAAACCATTAGTGAAAAGGCCAGACTTCAGGGGTATCTGAGGCAGGCTTGAAACACAAGAGTCAGGGTTGCTTCTGGGTAATACCAGACAGCTAGGCCTCAGACTGACGAAGCCTCTTGGATGAGGGGCAAAACGTTTCTTTTTAACAAAAAAAAACGAAGTCCAGATGACATGATTCAACCTTTTTTGTTGTTCATAGCAAACACTGTTTCAGCTTAAAATAACCTTCATCATAAAGTCTTATTATAGGTCTTTAAATGTTATATTAACTAATATTTACAAATTTACAAAATTCTATTTTACAATAGACTTTATTTTATTTGTCCAGTTTTGGTGATTTGATCGTGTTTCCACCAATCTTATAGAGCTATGAAAAATGACTGTAAAACAGGCTCACATTTGTAAATAAAGCTGCCAGTCCTTGAAGAAATGCAAACAGTATCTCTCACTACGTTGCACGCCAAAAATCTAGACAAGATTTTCTGCTACCAAATCACAAAGTCTTAGCTCAACGTCTGTAAAACGTACTGCCTTATAGCCGTTTTTGTGTTTGCTAAGGTCAGTTAGCTGTGGCAGCCATCTTGAATCAAGTTGACTCCACAAGTTGTAGATGTGCATCCAGTGGTAACCAGATGCACATCTTTAACTTCAATTAACATCATTAATCCAGCATGTATCCCTAATGTTTAACAGACGTTTTTGCAATGCTTGTAACGCAACATAAAAGCTTTTCTAATAAGTTTGATTTGTCGTTTACATAAAACTTAAACAGTACTTAAATTAGTACATCTGTATGCTCAGCTTTGTTAGTTATGTATTGTGTGTATACATGTGATATTAAGTTAGTAATGTGCACATGTGTGTGTAGGAGGCACTGATCCAAGAAGATTCAGTGGGATTGAAAGGAGACAAGGGAGATGAAGGAACACCTGGTGAGCCAGGAACACCTGGTAAGATTTTACCAACACTCGGCTCTTGTATCGCTGCAGACCTGCCACCTTATCCAACACCTCCCTCATCATTTGTGCTTCCAATGTTTTTTACTGATACGATTTATTATGATTTTCCCTCCCAGCCCCCGGGTTATCTGATGAATCTACGGTGAGTGAGGAGCAACAAACTGAATGTTTCTGTCTGGACTTTTTTTTTTTTCTTCAACAGTTTTTTTTGTTTGTTTTTTGTGGATCTCTCAGGGAGCTAAAGGTGATCTGGGACTCAAAGGTGAGAAAGGAGAAAAAGGGGACTCAGGTCTGCCTGGTCCACAAGGTCTTCCAGGAAGGTCAGGTCCTGTGGTGAGTTTTATTATATCCTAGAAATGAATTCAAGTTTAAAAATATATTGCTTTGTATTTTTTGACTGAATATTAAAATCCATTACATCCCCACCACAATAGCATGTCTGATAAATCCATGACACGCATGGTGTGGTATGTTGTGACATTGTTCATAAAAGGTTCTGTGGGTGCCAAACTCATGATTATAATGGTCAATGACCTGAACTGAACTTTATGTCTCTAAAACAAACAAAATAAGACTTAATACGCACAAATGACAGTCGCGTTTCCAAAAAAATATATTTTAATGTTTGTGTCTTTAGGGTCCAAAAGGTGAGTCCATTGTGGGTCCTCCAGGTCCAGTAGGTTCTCCTGGTCAAAATGGCACTCCTGGGTTTGGACGACCTGGACCGCAAGGTCCCCCTGGCCCTGCTGGACCACCAGGACCAGCATCTGCAGGATCAGGTGCATGTGTGTTTGTGAAGTAGATACAAAATAATGGACATTGTGGTTTTCGTTTTAATTCAGTTAAACGTGTTAATTGTAATCCAGTAAGTGTGTCTTCTCATCAGCTCTCAGTATCCCAGGTCCTCCTGGTCCTCCCGGTCCACCAGGATCTCCAGGTCATGCCAACCTGGTAAGGTGCCTAATCCAGATGTAACTGCTGGAAACAAAATAAACGTGTTCCTCTCCAACCTCCAACCCTGATGTGCTGATGTGTGATCAGGTGAGGACATATAAGACGATCCAAGAGCTGACCCAGGAGACCCACCATGCTGCTGAGGGAACAATGGCATACGTATCTGAGAGAGGAGGGGAGCTGTACATCAGAGCACGCAATGGCTGGCGCAAGATCCCGGTTTGTCCAAGTGGATGCACCCATTCACATTTCTTCATCTCATCAGCACGCATTGTAATATTATGTGTTGGTGGTTTTATGGAGACTCGTAGGGATTTATTAAAATCCAACACTGGTGCTTAAAACAATCAACATCTTCATACAAACACACAAACATGGGCATGAGTCCAAATATAATTACACTTTACTCTGTGCCATATCTAACTGAACTATGTGAGAATGTTTGCGGACATGGATATTTGTTTTTGCACTGATAAATGAATGATTAAGATGTTTCATGTTTTTGAATATATTTATTGTATATTACTTCTTTACACACACACATACCAGTCGAGGGCAATGTACACATCGATGTCTTGATAGACAATCGCTTTTTTGATTTACAGACGCTTTCATGTTGCTCGTGTCAACAAGTCATCATGCAGTGATCAGCTACTGCATGTTTTAAAGACATAAAAACCTGAATGACCTTAATTTTCTCCTTTAAACTCAGAGTTTGTGGATTTTTGACCTGAGCATCTTAGGAATAAATTTTGCAGTGGACTTTCCCTGGATGCCATTAATCTGGTCTCCAGTTTTAAAGTTAATAATCTTGGTGTTATTTTAGATCAGGACATGTTTTTTATCCCCCCCATGAAAACCAGGCCCCCTTTCTTCCATCTGCGTAATATCGCTAAAATTAGAAACATCTTATCTAAAAATGATGCAGAAAAACTGGTTCATGCATTTGTCACGTCTAGACTGGACTATTGCAATGGTTTATTATCTGGATGTCCAAAGTCTTTAGTTGATCCAAAATGCTGCTGCCAGAGTCTTAACTGGAGTTAGAAGGAGAGATCATATCTCTCCAGTTTTAGCTTCTCTCCATTGGCTCCCTGTCAAATCCAGAATTTAATTCAAAATCTTACTTCTAACCTACAAAGCCCTCAACAACCTAGCTCCATCTTATATTACAGATCTTATTGTTCCATATTTTCCTAACACAGCACTTCAAAGAAGATGGCTGCTTGTCCTGAGCCTGGTTCTGCTGGAGGTTTCTTCCTGTTAAAAGGGAGTTTTTCCTTTCCACTGTCTCCTTTGTGCTTGCTCAGGATGGGAGACTGCATCCAAGTGGATTCAACACAATCTGCTGGCTTCTTTAGATAGATTTCTTTTTACTAATTGGCTTTTATAATGATTGTGAATGTTTTTGTGTTGTGCCCAGAGACGACTTCTGTTGTGACTTTGCGTTATATGAATAAATTGAATTGAACTGAAAAGTGAAACTGTGCTCGGTGTGTGCACGTTTTAGCTTGGAGAGTTGATTCATTATGGACCCACCTCTTCAGAAGCGTCCCAGGCTCTCAGCAGACCTGAAGACTGGAATGGATCACAAAAGGTTCACAGCCAGGTTACTCATTTTCTTTATCACACACACACCCGCATATGCCCCCACCCCACTACAAACACACACACACACACACACACATAACCAGTAGGAAGTGGTTTGTCTTTTTTTATTTATTGCTGTTCAAACATTTTATTAAACAGGAGCTGCAGGACAGGAGTAGAGGATATCAACCCAGCTACAATGTTCTGCCTCACACCATCAACTCTGTACCTGGTGTGAGTGTAACAAACACACCTTTGCACACACAAGCCAGACTCTTTACCAGAGCCAGGTGGTGAAAGTCACTTGTTTTAACAGCGTGCAAACTGTAGTCTCCCTGATTTCTCCTGTCCATTCTTGTGTTTACAGCTCCATTTGATAGCTCTGAACGCCCCCCTCAAAGGGGACATGCGTGGCATTCGCGGGGCCGACTTCCAGTGCTACCAGCAGGCGCGTTCAATGGGGCTCGCCTCCACCTACAGAGCCTTCCTGTCTTCACACCTCCAGGATTTGGCTACCATAGTGAGGAAGGTGGACCGCACCGACTTACCCGTCGTTAATCTGAGGGTGAGAAATGATCCAGTTTTCAATTAAATTTAACATATCTCACATTTTCATTGGTTTCTTTTTCTTGGTCTTGTACACTATTTTGTCTTTGGGTGGGTGGGTGATTGCTTTAAGCTTCAGAAGGTCACTTTCTGTATTTTTGCGAGTTTTAAGACAAAATAACCATGTAAGTTATGTTCTCTTCCACTGCATTCAGGGTGAAGTGTTGTTTAGTAGCTGGGCGTCCATTTTCTCTGGGAATGGAGGGATTTTTGACCCTTCTACGCCTCTCTACTCATTTGATGGACACAACGTGATGACGGACTCAGCATGGTAAGAAGGAAAAGGATTCATCTTTGAGGAAAAGACAAGAAAATGCTTTTTTCTTCCCAAGCTCTGAATTTCCAAGTCTGATGATTCTGTTGAGTGGACAATACTAAATATACTGTAATTTCTGGACTATTGAGCACACCTGAATATAAGTCGTGCCCGCTAAATTTAAAAAAAAAAAAAAAAAAAGAAAATTTTACATAAATAGGCTGCTCTTTATAAGCCGCAGGTGTTCATGTTGTAACATGAGATATTTACACCGAAATATTTTATTTTACTTTTAATTAAATACGTACCGGTAACATGCACAAAGTAAATGTTTGTTTTTTTTCTGAACAGTGCCTGTAACACAGCTTATAACAAAAAAATATACAGTAGTCTACCAGGAAGTCATTGATCGCTATCCCCTAAGAGAGACGTGTAATGGGCAGCTATGTGAGTGCCTGGGTGTGACGAAGCTAAATGTTCTATGTCATATAGGCTTCGCCCTTTAAGGCTGTCGCTGATGGGTTTATCCCGTTATGCGCAGCATAAGCACTGAAAAAATTTAGTCCACGCCCACCTGCTGTGTGGGCCCCACCCGATCCGTATAAATTACGTTAAGAGCGGGAAATCGGCTCCCATTTTTTCTTCAGCGAGCTAAAAATAGCACTGTCAGAAGAACAAAGAAGGTAAATTGTGTAAATGACCAACCTTTGTTAAGGATGCTTGGCCCGGCAGTCGACCTCCGGTCGTCCGGTGAGTTCTCCTCCCCGAGGAGAAGATGACGAGCAGTCTTATTCCAAGGTAAGCGCCGGGGAATATTTCCCAGTGACAGGTCACTACACGCTGGACAACGCCATCTTGTATTTTTTCCTCTTATCGCCGACCCTCGGGGCGAACCGGATGGTTCCTCCGGGACAAGGCGTGCTCAGCTGCAGCCCCCGCTGCTCATTCCCTCCTGGGGAGCGTAGTGTAGGTGGAGGGGGGGGCTGAGTGAATGCTCACCCCATCCCACCTCGTTTCGCATCGGCGATCACACCGCTCCCGGCCGACAGCGCCCTCACGGTTGCCCGGCGGAACCCAGGAGGAGGCTGACATGAAGGGACCCCTTTTTTCTACGTCCCACGCCTTTTCCCGCCAGTTCGGCGGGAAGGTTGTTTCACTGGGCTCCACTCTGGCTCACCGTCTTGATCCATACGGCCCTGTGTTCCAACAGGACGTTCGACGGGCGAGGCCACAGACGGTTCTTCCTGGTAGATTGGGGGAGTCGGTCCCCAGCCCGCACCCATCACCAGAGTTGAGGGATTCACCGAGCGGGGCTATTCCTCGGTTACCCCCCCTTGAGCCAAGCCTCGCAGAAGCCTTCGGAGCGAAGCCGTCCAGGTTGGAGCAGCGTCCCGTCCCTCCGGGAAAACACGACCAGGCGGTGACCGCGTTCTCCAACCGAGCCCACCAATGTGCTTTTCAGGCGGCCGCAGCTAGCAACAACGTGGCGCTGCTAGCATTTAGCATGTCGAAGAGGCTGGAGGCCACAGACCTGCCGGAGGAGACAAAGAGTTCCCTGTGTAAATCGGCAGACGCCATCCTCAACGTGCGCCGCTTCCACGGTTTGCCTGTCGAGGATTGCAGCGTGGATGACGGTAATCCAACGTTCCACCTGGCTTCGTCACTCTCCCTCGCTGCCGGAAAAGCTGCACAAGGACTTGATGGAGGCCCCCATCACGTCGGACGCGTCGCTCGGAAGCAGCTTAAAAACCATGCTGGCGAATTCGAAGCAGTCGGAGGAGATGTCGGAAGCTGTGCGCCATCTCATCAAGCCGCGCGGCTCATCCCGTCCCCCAGCCCGCTGGAGAGATCGTCGCGAGCAGAGGCAGAAACATCGGCGCTCCACGGCAGCAGCAGCTTCGTCTCGCTCAGCTCCACCACCAGCCCCGCCCGTCAGAGACCACCACCCCCCCTCTTTCCAGCAACCTGCACTTCAGCGTTTCCCCAGAGATCGCCTGCAGACGGCGCTCGGGGCAAACAAATCGCAGAGCTCACGGGGGAGAAGTTTTAAAAATGACGGTCTGCGGAGGATGTGTGTATAAATGACACAGGAGTTGAAATAAATGTTTTTTCAATGATCAAAGTGCCTGTTTTTAGCCAGTCTGTAAGCTCGGATGAGCTCACAGCCGCTGCACACACATCTCCCTCCACACATAAAGAGCCGGTGTCCTTAAATAAAGGTTTTTTAAACCCACCGCCGCTCCAACACATGACGAGACGCTCACGCGACACCACGGTAAGCGAAATAACTCGTTATCAAACAGACCCGCACGATCACCACCCAAGCGGTGTTAAACGCGCACCCGAGCGAGGCAAGCAGCCTCCATCCAAACGGCGCTGTGTTGATGATGCACGCACAGCTGCCCGGCGTTCACCGGCTCACAACGGTATAAATGTGGGACCGCAGGCCAGGTCCGGTGGAGGTCCCCGCTCTCAGCGAAAACAACACACGCCTCACCTGAGCAACGCGAGCGGCCGTCATCCACCGCGTCTCAGCGATCGGCAGCTCACGGCGGCATAAGCGTGAGACAGCTGAACGAACCCGGCGACGAGCCCCGCCCCCAGCGAGAGCGGCGCGCGTCCCTCCAGGGAAAACGTGCGCTCCCGCGAGGCTCGCAACCTTCACTTCAACAGCACGGCGTTGATGAAGTCACGCCCTCCGCCTCTCAACGTTCGCACAGCGACGTTAAACGTGCAGCCTCACGACGTCATCAGCTGGCACATGCTTCGCCTCGGCACACACCGCCCCGCCCAGACATGAAGGTTGGTCCGCGATCCAGACACAGCGCACGGGCGCGCGCAGAACAGCCCTTTCGAGGAAGCCTTGCCTTGGGTCACGCGGAAAACTTTTCCGCGACGCATGACGGCGGTTGAGGCGGAGGATTGAATGACATCCGTTCAAAACACGGCACATCACTTAAACGCACGTCCACTCCACGAACGTTACGCAGAGTGGCTAAAAACCTGCTCGCCGGACAGATGGATGGACAGAGTGTTATGCAAGGGTTACACGCTGCAATTTGCAACCCGACCCCCTCCGTTCGGAGGAGTTATGGAGACGGTCCTGTCATCACCAGACCAAATCTCAGCCTTAAATACAGAAGTTCAGGAGCTTCTGATAAAAGGCGTAATTTCAAGAGTTCCCAACGGAGAGGAAAACACAGGGTTTTACTC